TCTAGAGATTCCAGCCCCCATCAGAAAAAATCCCGGGGAGATTTCACTTCTCGGAAGGTATATTCAACCTGATATTACCATAATGGGCCAGGACCCCTCATGGAGAGAGTACCTTTGTATCTGTGTCTCACAAGACGGCCCAACAGGAGTGTTGATAGGAGAAAAGTTTAAAGCCAGAGCTTTTTGTGATTAAGACCCAGACCCCAGCACTGCACCTTCAGGTTAGTGTTCTTCCTTGGGGAGATGGAAGATTGAAGAAGGTTCTTCTTTGCCTCCTCTTCGTGCTCTCACACTTTCCTGGGGTGATCGCTATTTATTTTAACAGCCTTTTCCTTCTTAAATTCTGTTATTGAATGAGTTGGCCTGAATACTCAATATGAGCCCTAATGGATTATGGTGGCCACCTGGCAGGCATACGTCCTCCTTGTCCAGAACCCCCATTTGTGATAACATCTGGTCTGACCAGCTTCCTCTTTACCATTATAAGGAAAGGCGGTGAGTGTGCTGAGGCAGGTGGTGTAGTCTCATACCAAGAGAAGCCCCCTTTGATACCAAAAAGGAAGGTGAACCACCCAAGATGTTGAGTGCATCAGCATCAGCCTTGTCTGCCTGTGGACCTTTTACCAAAGCTTCTCCCATGGGTTTCTGTCACACAGATCTGTACCACCTAGTTCGTCACCATGGTCAGGTGTGTATCTGGCTCCTTCTTAGGAATGACCTTGGCGTAAAGTTCCCACCTATATTTTGGCATGAACTTGGCACAGATTAGGTGCACTAGAGGCCGTAGATTTTTTTTGAAGTATAATTTACATGCAGTGAAATAAATAGATTTTAAATTGTACAATCCTAGATGTAGAATTTGAGTTTTGACAAATGCATACACTTTGTGTAAACAACACCCCAGTCAAGGTATAGATTATTGTTTCTTTCACTCCAGAAAGTTTCCTTGTGCCTCATCACTGGTAAGTCCGCTCTCCCCCACCCCCCAGGCAGCAACTGTTTTGGTTTCTATCACTATGTATCAAGTTTGAGGCCATCGTTTTTTTGTTGTTGTTTGGGTTTTGTTTGTTTGTTTGTTTGTTTTTGAGACAGAGTCTGGCTCTGTTGCCTGGGCTAGAGTGCCCTGGTGTCAGCCTAGCTCACGGCAACCTCAAACTCCTGAGCTCAAGCCATCCTCCCAGAGTGCTAGGATTACAGGCGTGAGCCACCGTGCCCAGCCTGAGGCCATGGTTTTTAAAACATGTAGATTTTCTTAAAGTCTGGATGGTGAGACATGTCAGAAAATAATATTTATCTAAGTAAAACAGTGATTCTCAGTGGGAGGGGTTGTTCCCCAGGGGACATTTGGCAGTGTCTCCAGACATTTTTGACTGCCTTGACTGGGGTGCTACTGGCATCTACTGAGCAGAGGCCAGGAACACTGCCAAACCTCCTACAATGCACAGGACAGCCCCACAACAAAGAAGGACCCAGCCCAAATGTCAATAGGGCCAAGGTTGAGAAACCCTGAACTAAATCATGTGCTCTCTGCAGAGAAAGAATTGTGGCCCTGGGGAGTGTTCATTTGTGGGTCTCCCAAGTTGGTTAAGAACCTGCCAGAAGCTGAAAAGGCCACTGCAGGAGCTACCTTTCTTTAGTGCTACCACCCTGTGGCCACAGTTCTTGCTGTGGGATGGGCGTCAGGGTGGGCTTGAGGAGGAAAACTAATAGAAAATGAGGAAGAAAAAAATAGCTTAAGCAGTAAAGGGGGGAGGCTCAGAATAATATTATAGCTAGAAAAACTAGTAAGATAAGAGGGAAAAATAAAGTAGACATGAATAAGAGCTCAGTAAAATGTTAAAAAAGTAAACAAGTTGAGATTTAAAATCAAAGATGAAAGTGAGTGGGAATAGTCATTAAGAACATAAAAGTAGGCCAGGCGCAGTGGCTCACGCCTGTAATCCTAGCACTCTGGGAGGCCGAGGCGGGCGGATTGTTTGAGCTCAGGAGTTCGAAACCAGCCTGAGCAAGAGTGAGACCCCGTCTCTACTAAAAATAGAAAGAAATTAGCTGGACAACTAAAAATATATAGAAAAAAAAATTAGCCAGGCATGGTTGGCGCATGCCTGTAGTCCCAGCTACTCAGGAGGCTGAGGCAGGAGGATCGCTTGAGCCCAGGAGTTTGAGGTTGCTGTGAGCTAAGCTGACGCCACAGCACTCACTCTAGCCCAGGCAAAAGAGCGAGACTCTGTCTTAAAAAAAATAAAAATAAAAAAAAGAACATACAAGTAGAAATAGAAATAAAAAGAAGGCCACAAGATAAAAAGTGAAATGTGTGAAAAGTAGATAGGATTAAGGATTGAAAACAGGAATTGAGAATTAAAAAGGTCAATCTAAAACAATATAGTCTGCCTCCGTATCCATGGTTTCCACATCTGTAGATTTAACTAACCGAGGATTGAAAATATTCAAGACAAAAAATTCCACAAAGTTCCAAAAAACAAAACTTGAATTTGCTGTGTCCCAGGTTCTACACTGAGTCCATGTGAATGAAGTGGTGTGTAGGCAATGTATTAGGTATCATAAGTAATCCAGAGATGATTTAACATATATGGGAGGAGGTGTGCAGGTTATATGCAAATACTATGCCATCTTACATAAGGGACTTGAGCATCTGTGGATTTTGGTGTCCTCAGGGGTCCTGGAACCAATCCCTCACGGATGCCAGTACATAAAACAAGAATGAAGGGACACTATGAAACCAAACTACTTACAGGGTAGAGGTTAGATGAGGGTGTGGAGAGTGGGCAGGATGCCAGCTGGAGCAGATAAATGAGGGGAGTTGGAAACAAAGTCCTGAGGTGAGGCTAGCTTGCCTCAGTGGAAAGTCACTAGTTCAAGCAGCGTTGTCATGGTCTGTCAGTCATGGGCAGACCCAGAAAGCAGAGAGCAGTGAGTTGGTGCCTCCAGATACCAGCAGCCTACTCTTGGGTGGCTCAAGCCTTAGATGGCTCTACCTCTTTAAAAGAGCTGGGGGTGGGTAAGGGGAAGGAAAAGCTATGGGTTTATTAACTTAAACTGTGAATTAAAAAAATCAGACCCCTCCTGTGAAGGTCGCAGCAGTTTTTAGGTCACATCATGGTGCTGTTGGTCCTGCCTAATAACTGTGATAGGCACAAACCACATTGACGAATGTCAACAGTAGCTGGTTAACCTTCACCTTGGAAGCAAAAGCAATCTGTAGCAATAGTGCCTTGAAATTAAGACCTTTCAAGATGCACACTTAATACATCAGGATGTGTTAATTATTTTTAAACCAGTTAAAGTAATAACCACTCTTTTTTTGTATGCCTTTCAGCTCTTTATTTGCTTCTGAAATATGGGAATTTCCTTTTTTGTGTGACTCCAGGCATTTTTGTTATATTTTATCTAACATTGTATGTTTTGTGAGTATTACAGAATAGCCTAATCTTTCACATTACAGGCCCTGCAAATCTCAGTAATACAATTTCCATGATGCTAAATCATGCCTGAATAGTTAGAACAAGATCATCCATTCATTTGTTTTTCACCTCTCTTCCATCCATTTCCTTTATCTTATGGGAACAAGCAATAAATAGTTATTGAGCATTTCTTATGTGCTGGACACAGCCTCATCCTGAAAGGGCTTCCAACCTGGTAGGGAGAACTTGATAGATACAAACAAATGGACAAATAAAAATAATAAAATAAAACCAGGAATTCTCCCTGCTCTTAGGCAGTTAGTTCTACAGAAAGGCAAAGCAAGTATAGGACATTTTAGATAGGAATCAGCATGTGTGAAGCCATGAACCTGGGAAACAGCGTGGGAGAAATATAGGGAGTTCAAGTTTTGTGGGAGGGGGCAGAGTGACGAAGAGATGAGGTTAGAGAAGATGGTTGTGGCCAGATTATAATGGGCCCTGTTTGGCTAACATAAAAAAGTCCTAGGTAATAAATACCAAAAGATCCCAAATAGGATAGAATATGTAATTAAGTGGGCAATTTAGAAAGATCATTCTTTCTCAGAGTGGTTTGAGCCATTAGAGGGCCAGGTGACCAGTTAGGATGCTGTTAAACCAACTCAGGAAAGAAATGGAAGCCTAAGGAAAGATTGCACAGGAAGGGATAAAGAGGAGGAAGTAGAAGTCAGATCATTAATTAGCAGGACTTAATGAACAATAGGATGGCGGGGGTGGCAATGATGACCTAGAGTTTCTCTTTTTATTAATTTTTAAATTGACAAGTAAGAATAATGTATATTTATTAAATACAACATGATGTTTTGAAATATGTATACATTGTGGTATAGCTAAATTGAGCTAATTAACATATGCATTACCTCACATACTTCTATTTGTATAATCTAAAAAAGTTAAATTCCCAGAAGCAGAGAGTAGAATGGTAGCTACAAGGGGCTGGGGAGTTGGAAAGATGTTGGTCAAAAAATACAAAATTTCAGTTAGACAGGAAGAATAAGTTCAAGAGATCCATTGTACAACAAGGTGACTATAGTTAACAATGTACTGTATTTGTGAAAATCACTAAGAGAGCAGTTTTCAAGTGACCTTGAAGTTTCTGATAGGATTTTCTAGTTGGGTGAGGACACCATTCCTGAGAGAGGAAGTAAGAGAAAGAGGGGCAGGTCTGAGGGAAAGATGCTGAGTTGGTGTTGGGCGGGTTCCAAACAGAGGTAGATCTATACCTATAGATAGATCTACCTGTTTATCTACATATCTTTCATTTTACTTGAAAGGCTAAAGTACAAAAACTTAGAAACTGTTGTCTTTTGGAAATTAAGATAAAGTTGACCCGAAATTTTAAGTCTGAGAGAACATGAGTTTTAGATTCTGACTTCCTCAGAACTCCAGGAACGCATTTATTTCTCATAAAGCGCAATAATCCTTTCAGAGCAAGAGTGGCCGAGGTTATGAATATGCTCATGTTTTGCACATTCCGTCTGTGGCATGGAGAGAAAGCTTAAGATTGTTTCTGCATTTCAGGTAATTCAGAGGTCCGTGGGGCCAGCCAGCCTGAGCCTACTCACCTTCAAAGTCTATGCAGCACCAAAAAAGGACTCACCTCCCCCAAATCCCATGAAGATTGATGAGGTAACGTGCTGTTCGTGTTGTAATGTATTTTGAACGCCTGATTTAGTTACCCGTAGGAGAGTTTTTATGAATTGTCTGTCAAGAAGGTAAGACTGTGTAGAAGATATTTAAGGACAACTATATTTCCTTATAGTTTGTTTTCTTTGCGGGAAATGACAAACTATAGCTTTTCAACAAATAAACCTTAATCGTACTTAGCTAAGGGCATAATTAAGGAATATTTTACAGATTTTTAGTGGGGAATATGCTACGTCCCGGTAGATTAAAAGGACAACTCACTTTTCTAAGCAGTTTGCCTGATTCTTGGCTTATCTTGATTCCTCTCAAGCCAAGAAAATATTCACATTTTTACCTCTCTAAGTAATTAGAGATCTGGATTCTTTCTGTTTCTTGGCTGGAGTACAGGCTCCTAAGCAGACACTTAATAAATACTAAATAAATAAAACAAGAAATCCTCTCTACATTGTTTACATTCTTTTTTGTCCATACTTCCCACTGATTATTTTGGATTTTTGGTTTCTCTTGCGTTTGAATAAAGTGATGTAAAGATCTGCCTTCGGTTCTGGGCAGGGCTACTATTAGCTTTACATAAAGCTCATTAGCTTATCTTTTGCCCTTTATCCTCTTCTCAGGTCTTTGGGACAGTGGCATTTTTGAGGGTAAAGAAAGAAGCCAGTAGTGGATGTGAAAATTTTCTTCTCTGGGTAGAGAACAAACCTGCTGTCCTGCTTTGATTAGCACCAGACTGATCATTTGAACTAAGCAACTTGCTCTTCAGTTACTCTCAAGCTTTTTTTTCTTCACCCTCCTCACCTACCGTTTAGAGTAATAGAATCCTTTTTCTGAACTAAATCTAAGGTGGAATCCCAAATACCACTATATAAAACGGATAAAGGGGAGCTGCTTCGTTTGCTGTCAATGGATGGGAAGGGAGTAGGACACCTTAGAGCCCTGCCCTCTTGGCCTTGGCCTTGTTTGTTTGTTTTTGAGACAGAGTCTCACTCTGTTTCCCGGGCTAGAGTGCCATGGTGTCAGCCTAGCTCACAGCAACCTCAAACTCCCAGGATCAAGCGATCCTCCTGCCTCAGCCTCCCGTGTAGCTGGCATTACAGGTGTGTGCCACCATGCCTGGCTAATTTTTTCTATTTTTGGTAGAGAACACGGGGTCTTGCCCTTGCTCAGGCTGGTCTTAAACTCCTGACCTCAAATGATCCTCCTACCTCAGCCTCCCAGAGTACTAGGATTACAGGTGTGAGCCACTGCGCCCAGCCCCTTGTCCTTGTTGATTAAGGAATTAAGTAAGGTGCAAAGATCATCTGAAGTAAAGTTCAGGTTGCACATAACCCTTAGGGTCTAATAATTCATGAGTTATTAGAAATATTCTACCTACAAATTTGATCATTTATTATGTGATCTCATTATGTGCTTTTTGATTTTTTAATTTTTTTTTTATTTTTAATGTGTGCAGCTTTCACTCTACTCAGTTCCCGAGGGTCAATCTAAATATGTGGAAGAGCCACGGACCCGACTTGAAGAAAGCATCTCACAGCTCCGACATCACTGTGAGCCATATACAAGTTGGTGTCAGGTACAGCTGTTCTAAAAATGGAGTGTATACTTTTCTATTTAGAGTCAGTAGTGAAAAGTCTATGTTAGTTGCATGTTTTTGAAAAAAGGCATGATAAAGGGCCCCAAGTTAAGAGTGCCCAACTTACAAATGTTCATCAGTGCCATCTGGGGAAGGGGGTACAGAGATGCCAAGATGAACTAGCTTCCTGGTGGCAGCTGTTGCCACCACAGCTGCAGAAAGAATTTTCCTCTTGCTGGTTAGTGTGCGGTACCTTGACTAGAGAGTAGAAGACTAGGAACTGCCCTGTTGGTTGCAGTTGTGAAAACGTTGTCTACCATGGGAGGATATGGGGCTGGAACTCTAATGGAAGGAAAAAGACCTAATATGAGCATTTGTATCAAAATTGTGAAGTGTTTCTCTCCTCAGAGGGTCTACAATTGAGTACCACTTTAAACATGAATAGTTATAGAGCATTTTGAATGCTATAATAGGAGGATAGATAGTAAAATAGGGTCGAATTACATACTGGAGTACTGAACTATTTGCCCCAGTGACCAAAGAACTACATATGCACATTGGCTTCTGTCCCTGCCCATGTTTTAGATCAGGCATTTGTCATTATGAATGAAAGTGAATGAAATAAATTTGAATGTGAATAGAAGTATTTCTGTGATTTTTAACATCTGAAACTGAGGTTTATAATCTACAGAATGCTTTTTTAGGCTTTGATACATATGCTTCCTGTACTTTTTTTTTTTTTTTTGAGACAGAGTCCTGCTCTGTTGCCCGGGCTAGAGTGCCGTGGTGTTAGCGTAGCTCACAACAACCTCAAACTCCTGGGCTCAAGCGATCCTCCTGTCTCAGCCTCCTTAGTAGCTGGGACTACAGGGGCACACCACCATGCCTGGCTAATTTTTTTCTATTTTTAGTAGAGACAGGGTCTCACTCTTGCTCAGGCTAGTCTCAAACTCCTGAGCTCAAGCAATCCTCCTGCCTTGGCCTTCCAGAGTGCTACGACCACAGGTGTGAGCCACTGCACCCAGCCATTCTTCCTGTACTTGATCTTGGTTTCGAAGATTGAGGACAAATTAAAAAAAATTAATATGTAGATGTATGTGAAATGGTCTAGATTTACCTTGCTTGAGATTTACAAATTCAGTTTTCATCCAGAGCTTGTTTTAAAATTTTTAATTTCTACTGTCTGTGCCATGGCTGAACTTTTGTTTACCAATTTAGAAAGAAAATAATAAGCATGGGCTCTCTCAACAATGTAACTTTAGGCCATTATACTTACATATCATAACCATATTATTAAATTAAGAAATACCTAAATATTTTATATATAATGTGTTATAAAACACTTAGACTTTATTCTCTTGTTCTAGAAGATTTAAAAACCATCTGCTGGTAGTGAAGATAAAGTCAGTAAATTTGTGCAAATATTTTTGTATCATGTAGGCATGATTGCTGTTATTTCTAGTCTGTCTTTTTTTTTAAATAATGAAAGTACTTTGTCTGTTTACCTTTCAACCTAAGGTTGCTTTTTTGTTTTTTATTTTTTCTTCTGTGCATGATACTCAGTGCAGTGAAATACTTTTCTGAATGATAGACTAGCTATCAACATGTTTATTTGCACTACTTCTAAATAAAAAAGGTTTCTTGTAATTATAATAGTTTTGTTTTCCTAGGTAGAATGAAGTCTTCATAGAAATATTTCTAATTCTTGGCTCTTTTTTCAGACCAGCAATATCTAGCCCCTTTCTTAAAGAAATAATTTAATTTTTTTCCATAGTAAAAAGATTAAGCTAGCAAAAGAAGTGGGCAGTCACTCTAGACATTGATCTGTAGATTTTCTTCCTTTTTTATGCACAGAAAAAACAATAATGGATTTTAATGAAGTGATATTCAGATCTTTATGTCCTCCCCCAAGTTCAGCATTTATTATTTAAGGCCATTTAAAAGAATGAGGATAACTTGTTCTGACTTGAACTGAATTGCACAAAACAACTCCTTTTCCAAGTGACAACTATTTCTGATACCTTCTGATACCCATGTATCTCTTTTCTTGTCTTTACTGTAGACTTCTTGAAGGTGGGTACCTTCTAGCTAGTCCCTCATTTCTTTAGTATCATCTGATGTTCATGTACAAAGCCTTTTTATTATTGTTGTTAAGATAATGTTGACACTTCATTTGCTTCAGGATTGAGGTATCTCTCCAAACTGAGATAAAGACTCCTTTGTCTTATTAAAGCTAGTCATTCCTGCTTCACATGGGCAGTTTCCAGATATAGGTCCTAATTAATGGTAAATCAGAGAATAGGCTTAATATGAAAGATTTAATCTCACAGGGAATCTTGCCACTATAATTATCAAGGGAATTGATTTTAGTCTGTTTTCTTCAATTTTAATGGAAGAGTGAAGAGGCTGGATTGTTGAAACCACTGTACTTATAATTTTTGCTTCCTGTGGCAATCATAAGCTATTCTTCCGAGTGGTTTTCAGTGAAGGGAAAATTACAAAAGGAAAAACAAAAACAATAAAACCCAGATAGACAGTATATCCCTTTGTTCAAAAAGTGTTAATAACATGATAATTTATTCAGTAAAGACAAGTGTATTTATTCTGTTACTTTCTAATCAGCAAATCCTACTCATTCATTTTCTTTTTATGTTTTTAGGAAACATACTCCCAAACTAAGCCCAAGATGCAAACTTTGGTTCAATGGGGGTTAGGTAAGTTGATTTTTAATTAGGCATGATCAGTTATTTCATTAACAAATTGGACTTTTTATCCAGGGTTGTATGGATGGGCTCCAGGAGATCTGTGGATTCCTTAAAATTGTATGCAGAATTTTAGAGCTACATAGATTTTTCTGGAAAGAGGATCTGTTGTTTCCCTCAGATTTTAGAGGACTAGTGTCCCCAAACAGTCACGTAAGTCTCTTCAGAATCTTTAGGATTACTCAAAGTTCATGTAGGGTGAAATAAAAAAAAAAATTTTTAGGATCGTTGGGCTAGCAAGCACAGATACACTGCATTTAAAAACAAACAAACAAACAAACAAACAAACAAAAAGACCCTATTTCCAGGTGCACCACACTAACTCCTCAGTAGGTTTTCAGAATCAGAGTAACTCATTGGTGCTGCCATTAATACATACTATAGAAGTTTCGAGGCAGGAAGAAACTGAGCTGGTATGCCTGGGAAAGATCTTATTACATAATTAGTAGTGTTCTTACATTTTTTATTTGATTTTTATTGTCCTTGATTGTTTTTCACATGTGGGCCACTTACACACATACACTCATAAACTGGATTCACAGTCTATGTTCTGACTAATCTCAGTCAGGAACTGGTAAATTAATAGAGACACTGATCATATTTCATTCCCCTTATTGGGCATCTCAACAAATCAAAATCTTACTTTTACAAGGGTTTATTTCCATGATAGAACAAAATAAACATGAGTACAGTTTATTTTTTGCCCTGAGACTATCAGAGAAATAAATTTTTCATTTGACGATAGATATAATAATAGTTGCCTACTGGTTCTTTAATTATTGGCATGTTAATAAGTAACATCTTAATTTTATTAATTTCATAAACCCTTATTTAGTGCCTATGTATCAGGTACTATTCTAAGTGCTTTAAAAATATTTATTTAATCCTCATAACAACCTGACAGGTACTTTATTATCTTCATTTTTTTTACCTGAGAAAACTAAAAGAGCTGATAAAGTCTTTTATCTGTACGTGTGTGAATATACAGATATCATTTCCCATTAATTCATAGCAATAGGCATTATTTGTAACATTAGTCTGTCTGTCTTCTCCTGGACTCATGGTTATTGCAAAGGCTGTGAAGGAGAAGCATTCCATTATGAATTGTGTTGTTGTCTGCCAAGGCGATCAGTCCATTTTCCAGCAGTCACAGCCAAGGCATGTTACCAGAATCTGGGCTTCTGCTTCAGTGCAGTCTTAAAACATATCTTCCTTCCCATTTCTTTGTGATTTACCCACTTCGGCTCAGCTCACCAAAGCCATCTGGGTGTCCTTCTGTTAACTGCTCTGTGCTCACATCTAGAATTGAGCAACACTGTGCTGGTAGGCAAAAATAAAGGGAAGTAGAAAATTGCCTCAAATAACCCAGACTAGAGGATGGAAAATAAAAACTAGGTTAAAGGCAAAATAAGTAAAAGGGCAGACAGTAATTAATGCAAAACAGCACACAAGCCCTATAGTAGTATTTAAAATAATCACCGCATTTTCCAAAGAACCCAGGAAAAGGAAAACTGGCATGTATCTTGTATTACCTAGGAGAGAGAATTATTGAGTTTTCCAGTTTATTAGTTCAGTTCAGCATACATTTGTTAAGTCACCATTGTGGCAAGCATTGAAGATTGAGGTTGATTAAGACAGTAGTCACAGCTACTGAGATGCATATAATAAATTATTCAATACTAGCGCAAATACAGAGACAATCACAGACCACTGTTGAAGGTACAGAGGAAGGAGACTAGTTTAATAGAGATTGGGGAGATGGGAGCAGTCAGGGAAGGATTTCTGATATGAATCTTGAAGGAGCAGTGTTATCCACACCAAGATGTGGGAGTGGGACTTCGGGTGGCAGGCATTCCACATAGTGCGTGCAGCATGGTCAAGGCTTAGAGATGTGACTTGACATTGGGTATTTGGGGAACCGTAAGCAGATAGGGAGTGCTGAAGATAAGGTTGAGAGAGAGAGACATGAGGGCTTTGTAAATCATGACCTCACTGAAATTCATTTGTCGATTCATCCAGTATTCGTCCACTCCTGGCAGTGCTCTTAATAAAATCTGTTGAATGAACATCCCCTATCACCACTAAGGGAAGATAACACAGAAGTCTAAGCAATCCAACATTAAGGAGCTTACATTCTCCTTGGGGAGACATCAAATGCACACCTGAATAATTAAACACAAGGTACTAGAGGATATAGGTACCAAGTGATGGTACAGAGAATAAATCTGATGGGACTTCAGAGGAAGAAGAGAGGTCTGGGCTGATAAGCTTAGGAAAGGCTTTTCTGAGGAGGTAGGACTCAAGCTGGCTTTTATTTAGTGGGACTGGCTCAGTGGAAAGGAGAGGAGGCATCATGTGAATGAAGTCATAAAATGTGTATAGGCTTACATGTTGGATTTATTTTTATTTATTCTATCACTATCAACAGTGGCTATTTCCTGCATGGACTTGTACTACAAGTTTCCTTCATTATCCAAATTTATTCTGTTCTTGAGTTCAAATAATGAGTTCAAATGACAAAGGATACATATTTTTCTCAGTCTAATGTATTTGGTTCCTGAGTTTCAGAGAGCAAGCGGCAAAGCTTCAGACAACAACAGATCTATCCAAAGATTTATCCAAATCTATTCTCTTTCTGTGTTCGGATAATGAGAGTTTGGATCACGAAAGATCCCTGTATTTGTATTTCTCCCTGTGCGAATAGCTAATAGCTAATTCGATGCATTGCCTTCAGGAACGTGAAGGTAATCTAACGTTACTTTATCGTCAGTAGGTTGTCAGACCAAAAGTGTTTGAAAATTGGACACTGGCTGTATGAATAAATTTTATTTATATATCACATAAAAAGAATGTGTTGAATAGAAGCATACTAGCAGAAAGCAAAGCATACATGGTTTGAAAAGCATTGGATACTGTATAAGACTTTTTTATTTATTTTTTAATGAGCAATTTATGGGACTGCTTCCTGGTCTGATTCTATTGTAGACAGCTATGAATATCTCCAAAATGCACCTCCTGGATTTTTTCCAAGACTTGGTGTTATTGGTTTTGCTGGCCTTGTTGGACTCCTTTTGGCTAGAGGTAGGTGCAATTTTATGTTTTTTTTTTCAATAGTTCATATGGGAGAGATAGGATATATGTTTCGTTCTTTCCTTTCATTTACCAGTTTTCAGAATAAAAAGTTGGTTCCTAAATATGGCCTTCTTAATGCATAATTGATGTGGTTGTTTATTCTATGATATTTGATTTTAAGCATGTATAGAAATTGTATACTCTTGGTAAAAAAAAAAAAGAAATTAGTTATCCTTTACAGGTATACATACTTGATCAAGACCCTGTTGGTCTTTGGTACAGAAAGAGTGAACTTTTGCTCAAAGTCTCTCACACCCGAGAAATAAACTATTTCTAAATGTTTCACCATTAAGATCAGGCTATTTATCACAGTAAATAGAACAGTAATTTAATGGAGATTTTATTAACTACTTGATGTGTCATGGCTTCAGTCAGTGATGATGTAGAAACTTTAAAAATGCTTAAAATTAAAAGTTAATGAATGTCAACTTAAAAATATTACTATATTACACTGCTAGATTATAAAACATCTATAGGAAATAAAGGATGGTAAAATACTTCACAATGGTGAAATTAATTTATAATGACTACTTGGAGTTTCACTGACTGTAAAATAAATGTTGATGGCATAAAATTCAGACATTACAAAAATTTCTAATGGAGAATGAAAGAAAACCATGGAGACTAGTTTGGTACCCATTCCACCAACTTTAAAAATCTTCCCTCTATGTGCACTTACCATTATTTTCAAATCTAGAGGGTAGATGCTGCCCTGGTGCTACTCCCAGTTTACCTGTGGAAGGAACTCCCATCTCATGCAAAATATATCTGAACTAAAATTCCAGTTCATTTTTTGTAATCAACTTGCAAGCCAACATTTTTTCCCCAAACTTCTTTCCCCTCCTGACATGCAAAGCTGTTGAGGAAAGCATTCTGGTCTTATTTACATAGTGTTTGGGATTGATGAACATCCAAGGCCAAGGTGTTGGGATTTTGGCTATTGTTTGGGAGATGGGGATGTGAGGTTGAGTGAGATGAGCTTCCCCCTTCCTCTCCATGGTTAGGGTATGTGGAGAAGTCTTATAGTCCCACAGAAAGCTCTCTATGCTATGGGTATATTCCTACACTGCCAAGTGTTTGTCCCCTGCACATCCATCAGGGTGACCATCCTGAGGAGGATGGGGGACCACGCTCTCCTAGGCAGAGCTGCAGCATGAGGACACCCTCTACTCTGGGTCCTATTCCTTTGTTTTTGTGTGTTCATTTGTTCCTATCTCTCTGCATCCTTTTCCTGGGAAGGCTCAGTAGTATTAAAATAATTTGAAACTTTAATTCTTTTTCACAAATATTCTCACGAGCATGCACACACACTCACACATGCACAACAGCAGGTCTTTTCCCATAGGTGCTGGGTGTAGAAGGGCCAAGGTGAGTGGTATCTGAGGGGTTCACCAAGCAAGATGAGTGGGATGGTAGGTAGGTCTATGGGTGGCCAGAATGGCTTGCTGGCCCCTCCAGGTAGATGGTCCTGTATGCTGGTGGCAGCAGGATGGGTGCAGTGGTGCAGAAGGTCCCTCCTGGTAAGGTTTCTTGAGTGAATCTGCTAAGGTAGTCTGCCACAGTTGATGAGGATGGCCATGACTATGGTGGTGACAAGGGGCTCCCAGAGAGGTGAGTGGATGATCATTCAGAGGAAGTGGGCCCAGTCAGGGCAATCAAAAGCGGCAGGTGATTGTTGCCACTATTGTTGCCTTGCGATGGCTCTCCCCAGCACTGTTGGCCAGTGGTTTCCCTCTGGCAATGCTGATAGTTACAGCCCACACCACCGGGCTTCTTGGGAGGTGTGGGCATGGAGGTGGGGGCGGGGGCATGTGATCACACCTCTTTCCTGGGGTTCTGGGTTCCCAGCTCTTGGTGGGAACCAGCAGGAGCTAGAAGCCCAAGGGCTACCGCCTATCAGCTTTCCCTAGAGGAGTAAAAAATGACTGGGTGGCAGGTTTGCTGTGCTTCCCCTGGTCCTCACCTGTGAGCTGCCCGGGAGCTTAAAGGTTCAACTGGCGAGAGTTGGGGGGTGGGGATCCCAGTGCTGTCACAGGCTTTTCTCTTGTAGGATAATTTTATCCTTTCAATCCGGGCAACAGGACCAGGAGAGAAACATTAATTTATTAATAGTCTAGTCTGATAACATTTGTATTCTCTTCTGTAACCCAAGTTCCATCTTTGGGGATTTGTCTGCTTAAAGTTTCAAAACCAATAAATAGTGCTCACTTCAGCAGCACATATACTGAAATCGGAACAATACAGAGAAAATTAACATGGCCCCTGTGCGAGGATGACACAAATTCATGAAGTGTTTCATAAAAAACAACCAATAAACAGCACTTACATTATATTAGAACTGTGTAAGTATTATTAACACACATTGTGCTAGCATCTATATGGGTCCCATGGCAAAAACACTGTGCCTCTCAGTGGAGTCAAGTCCATGTGTATTCTCCTGTTTCACCTACCAATTTTTCTTAACCTCATTCTCTGGTTTCTACAGACTCTGCGTCCTGCCATCTATTCTATAATATCAATTCTCCTTTTCCCCCACAGCTGTACAACCCCACGTCCTTGTACAACCTGGCCTGAGACTTCAATACTGCTCTTGTCTTGGGACTTGTCTTCTTCACTATCTCTTGGGTCTGAGCCCCTTTTCCTGGATTCCACATCATCTTCTCCTCGGTTTACTCTGCCATGCTGTTGAACAACATGCTTAAGTCACTTTCCAAAAAGCATATATTGGAGGCAAACTTCCCAAGACCTTGCATGTCTGAAAATTACTTTCTGCCCTCGTATCAAGCGATAGTTTGGTTGGGCATAGAATTTGTTTACCATCAGAACTTTGAAGGCGGTGTCTTCTAGCATCCTGCATTGCAGATGTGAGAATCAGTAGCCAGTCCAAAGGCTTTCTGCTTCTGAAGTGATTCAGTTTTTCTTCTTCCTGAAAGCTTTGAGGATCTTCTCTTAATCTTTAGTGTTCTGAATTTCCATGGTGCTGTGACTAGATATAGATGTTTTCATTCCTTGGTTGGACATTTTGGTGGTTTGCAGCCTTCAGCTGAAGGAAGGTATCTATCTTATATTTCTTTGAAAATTTAATCTCATTCTTTTTCCTTCCTGAATTCATATTAATTAGCAATTGGGTTGTTTAAAATGACCCTGTGAGATTATTTTGTTTCTTTCGAGTTTTTTTTACTTTGGTCATTTCCAAGAGCTCTTTTTTGTTCTCTGTTGCTTTTTTCATAGAATTCTTTTTTAATGTGGTAGCTTTTTGAATTTATGTGATGATACTTAATAACAAGTTTAGTTTTCTTTTGAAGTTTGTCTATTTCCTGTTCATTCCTTTTTTTTTCTTCTTGCTTGTCCTTGATCTTTCTCCTTTGTGTTTCAAGCTTTCTTCAAATGACTGGTGATCCTTGGTTGTCTGGTCATGTCTCAGAATGAGGCAACTGAAACACGCGTAAGAACTTTTTCTGCATAGATGGGGCCTGCTGACGCAGGGAGCTGGGTGGGAACTGACCTTACATGGGGGCATCTATACCCAGTGCCAGTGTGAGGAAGTCTTCACTCTCGGGCACTAACACGCACAACCCTCCCAGCTATCTTGGTTCTCAGCAGGAAATGCATGGGGTTTCTTTAGTGATACCCTGCCCCTTTTAAAAAAAATTGCCTGGTGTGGCTTCCTGGCCATGGGCAGTTTTGCACTGGGATGGCATAGGGAACGGAAGGGTCAACTGGTCAGTGTATAGGACTTGTGTTTGTCCTATTCCCCTGTCTTGATCCCTGGTTGCTGTCACCATTCCCCACAGTACCTGCCATCTCTGGGTCTGGAGCCTTTGTAGGGCTGCCTGGGACAGATCTGCTTCCTTTGAGGCTATAGCCCCTTCTCAAGACTTAAAAGGCAGCATGTCTTCTTGTTTCCATTCACTCTCCATTTTCTGAAAATTGGTTGATACTTCTTAGCTGCAGATGGCCCCTCCACACATTTTCTCTTCATTAGTGGGTTTACTAATCTGTATTTTATTCTTTTACTGTTATTTTAATGGGGTCACAGAAAAGAGAGGAGAAGAATGCTTGTGTTTAGTATTTAAATAGGAAGCCAGTTGCTGTGAAAGAACATAAACCCTAGAAACCAAAATACTGGTTTGTTTATTTGTTTTCAAAACAATCTTTTATTCTGCTCCCTTGGAAAGGGAAGTTTTCTGGAAAACAGTTGCTGAGTGAAGGAAGCCAGTCACAAAGGACCACATATTTATTACGTGATTCCATTTATATGAAATGTCCAGAGTAGGCAAATCCATGGAGATAGAAAGTAGATTAGTGGTTTCCTAGGGCTGGAGGGTATGGGGAGTTAGGGGGTGACTGCTAATGGGTATGGGGTTTCTTTGGGAGATGATTGAAATGTTCTAAACTTGATTGTGGTGATGGTTACATAACTGTGAATACAGGAAAAGCCATTGAACTGTACACTTTAAATGAGTGAATTGTGTGAATTATATCCCAATAAAGTGGTGAAAAAGTGGTGGTTCTTTTTGGTACACATGATTATTATTGGACACATTCTCTCAATTTAGGACCAAAGAAATCTTATTCAATATTAAATATATAAGGTAAATTGTGATGATAAGGATAATGAATCATCTGATGGTGTGTACAACCTTTTATTTATTAGGTTCAAAAGTAAAGAAGCTGGTGTATCCACCTGGTTTCATGGGTTTAGCTGCCTCTATCTATTATCCACAACAAGCCATCACATTTGTCCAGGTAAGGTAGATGGCCCAGTAAGTTATGATGTCCCTCATTCTTACTTGCGTATGTATGGATTTGCTGCTTACTTTTATTTTGCAGTTTTTACAATACCAGACTAAAATTTGTTTGCACATATAGATGAACTATAATAAATTTAAATTATTTTCTCCATTATATACTTCAGTTCCAGCCCTCCATCCAGTAATGCCAGTGTTCAGAGAATTTGAACACCAGTTTGCATGCTGATTTAAATGTTAATCAAACAAAATTTAAGATGCCTTTTTTGCATACTTATGGGGAAGTCTAGAGACTCAAATTCCAAAGCTGATAATTATGGGTCGCTCCATTTAGGCATGTCTGGTCACAACCTGCTTTCGTTGGACTTGCCTGGAAGTGCTCTGGCTTCCACGCTTTCATCCCGGTACCGATGCAGGCCTTGCTTTCCTTGTTGGGGACTTGGGAGACTGTAGTCCCCTATGCTGGGAATGTACTTCTCAGGGCTCTCAACTGGCTGCTCCTTTCTCACCCTGTAGACCTCAGCTTGATGGTATCCTCACAAGTAGGTAGATCGCGGTGGCAGGCAAGATGGGTAAAGCTGTAAAGCTATACCACTGGTTCTCAAAGCAGGGTCCCCAGACCAGCAGCTCACCTGGGAATTTGTTAGAAATGCAAAATCTCAGGCCCTACCCAGACCAACTGAATTAGACACTGTGAGGATAAGGGCCAGCAGTCTGTTTTAGCAAGCCCTCCAGGTGATTTTATTGCCTATGATGTTTGAGAACCACTGATACAGATCAGTAGGTAGCCTGAGGGGGGTGATGTCTGGAGTTAGTGGGACTCCAGGCATACAGTCCCTCAGAAAACTGGCAAGAGCAAGGCAGACTCTAGGTTTTGAGGTCCTGGGCAGATTATAGAGTCAGGGACTTAGTTGCCAGAACTGCCATATCACATGGAGACTCAGTCCCAGGAGGAGACAGCAGTGCAGTCACCAGGATCAGGCTCTGAGCCAGACCAACCTGATACTGAGCTTCCTGGATTCCTCATGACAAAATTCAGACCACATTCCTAGATCGAGCTACAGTTGTAGGTGGGAGTCCAGTGGCCCCAGCTATGGGAGATTGATGGCTTTGGTCCTGAATGCCATTAAGATCTTTTCAACATTGGCACGACATTGTTTATAATGATCCTGGAGGCAGATAGTTAATGCTCCTGTCCCTGCTCTAGCCCTAGCTCAGGAATAGTGAGTAATGTCTACCCACCCTAGATAATAAAAATAATTAAACATCATGTCAGTCTGTTATGATTTAAATGGTAAATAGCTAGGTGGGGAGGGTGGGCTAAGTTACTGGTTGAGAAGCATATGTGGCTGCCCCCATATGCCATAGCATATGTTGCAAAACATCTTTTTGTATTCACAACCAAGATTGATTGTAGGATGCAAATCTGAGTTACATTCTTATTTATTTTTAAAGTCAGTGGGAAAGAGTTTTTTTTTTTCGTCTTTTGTACCTAGAATAAGCCAAAACAAAACAATTAACTTTATTTTCATTAGATATAAAACCTTAGTGATCTGTTTGGGATGATGGAAAAGTTCTGGGAAAGATAGTGGTAATGGTTGTATGACATTGTGAATATACTTACTGCCACTGAATTGTATACCTAAAAATGGTTAAAATGGTAAATTTTATGTTGTATATCTCTTACCACGATAAAATCAAACCAAGGCCAGGTGTAGTAGTGTAGTAGCTCACGCCTGTAATCCTAGCCCTCTGGGAGGCCAAGGCGGGAGGATCGCTTGAGCTCAGGAGTTCTATCTAGACCAGCCTGTGCAAGAGGGAGACTGTCTCTACTAAAAAATAGAAAAAATTAGGCTGGGCGCGGTGGCTCACGCCTGTAATCCTAGCTCTCTGGGAGGCTGAGGCGGGCGGATTGTTTGAGCTCAGGAGTTCGAAACCAGCCTGAGCAAGAGCGAGACCCCGTCTCTACTAAAAATAGAAAGAAATGAATCGGACAACTAAAAATATATAGAAAAAATTAGCCTGGCATGGTGGCGCATGCCTGTAGTCCCAGCTACTTGGGAGGCTAAGGCAGGAGGATCGCTTGAGCCCAGGAGTTTGAGGTTGCTGTGAGCCAGGATGACGCCACAGCACTCTAGCCCGGGCAACACAGCGAGACTCTGTCTCAGAAAATAACAAAAACAAAATACTAAGCAAACGTCAGCTATTGAAAGAGATTTTCTGATATTTAGTGTCATTTATTCCTATTTCACAGTTCTAGTTTTCTTCTTTATGAATACCTTGATCTTGACTAAGCCACTTAATTACTTGTTTTCTGTTCAGTAGCATTTAGCTAAAAGTCCTATAAGAAAACCCTTAGATTGATGATCGAGAATGTTATTTTCCTCTCAGAAGTATAAAACACCAGCCGAGCATGGTAGCTCACGCCTATAATCCCAGTGACTCAGAGACTGAAGCAGGAAGATTGCTGGAGGCCAGGAGTTCAAGACCAGCCTGGGCAGCATAGCGAGAACCTATCTCTAAAAAACAAATTTTTTTTTTTAATTAGCTGGGCATGGTGGTGTGTACCTGTAGTTCTGGCTACTTGGGAGGCTGAGGCAAGAGGATTGCTTAAGCCCAGGAGTTTGAGGCTGCAGTGAGTTATGATCGTACTGCTGCATGCTAGCCTAGGCAACAGAGTGAGACCCTGTCTCTTAAAAAAGAAAGAAGAGAAAAAAATGTAAAACACTGGTAACAGTGCCATATGTGTAAATGCTCAATATGTCTACTGATGGGTCCAAGAATCATATCATGTTATATATTTTAAGAACAGTAGGAGCAACTGGAAGCAGATAGCTTGTAAGAAATCAGCATGTTGCAAAGACTGCTGGATTGACTAGCACTGTGACCTTGACAAGTCACTAGGCCTCTGAGTGTTTCCTTGTAGTCTTTGTCTGCTTACCACACAGAGTTGTTACAGAGTTGTTACACAGGATAGAGATAATTCATGTGAAAGTGCTTTGTAAACCAAAATGCTATACACAAAGGTTAATTATTATAAAAATTAGGAAGGGAATAGTAACTGCTTTTGGAAATTTGAAATACTGTCATGGGAAAAAGTAATCAATATTCTTTGTCATAAATAGGATGAGTGGATGCAAATTACTAGAAGCATTTTTTTGGAAGGCTCCGTACTTGAAAAAGTTTCCAGCAATTTAAGCCAGCTAGCTAAAGGTGGACAAGCATGTTTTAAGATCATAAGCTCCCTGACCCTGGGGCCTACCTCAGGATGTTGGGGGGACAATTCTTGATCAGCTTACCTCCAAAACCCTGCAGAAACTCAAAAGAGTTTATGTTTCGGGGGGCTTGGGAAAACTGGGAGCATCTTCATTGGGTTCAACTATTTTCATCTAAGCCCCTAAAATGAATAATTGATTTTCAGCTTAGCAAATGTGACTTGGTTGGCTGCAATGTACCAGGCAGGGTGCTAGATGTGATAGGTAGAAGCCTTCTTTCTGTGTCTGATTTTCAGGAATTTCTCATATCAGCAGTGGTCTCCTAACATTTTATTTTCCTTGAAATTTTGAAAGTTTAGGATATATACCTGTAATTTATGGCAAATCATTTTAAAAGATAAGTATACACAACCAGACAATTTTTTCTTCTTATTCTATCATTCTTACTATCTTTTTATTGGCTTATGTTACACAGTTTTAATGTGTATGTCCCAAGATTTCCTGTAGTAGTCATATGCTTAAATATAATCCTTTGGGAAACAGAAAAAAAGAAAATAGAAAATTCTCTTCCTTACCAGTCATGTATGGAATAGCAACAGATCTTTTCTATTTTGTTTCAAGGTCAGTGGGGAGAAATTATATGACTGGGGTTTACGAGGATACATAGTCGTAGAAGATTTGTGGAAGGCGAACTTTCAAAAGGTGAGAAACGTCTTTTTCATTACCTTCCTTTTGGTTTAAATATGTGGTTTTTCTAGGGTTTTATAAAATACCTGATAACTCTGTTGCTTTACTTGCTTTTTCTGTTTGTTTCTAGTTACCTCTCCAGCTTGGATTTTCTGGTGACCTTTATTGGAGGGGCAATAGAACTGCTGAGCATTTGGTTATTTGGTTATCAGCAGGGCGGAATAAGTGATGACCATAAAATGCATTCCACCGCAGTCTTAGACTATAATTTCCACTCTGTTGTGTTTATAATTTGCTCAAAGTGTAGCATATTATCTGAAAGTTTTATCAAAACCGAGTACAAAGGGAACATGCTGTGTTCCCAGAAAAAAGACAAATAATTGAAACCCTCTTCTCCTCTTACTTTTCACTTATCATCAAGCTCTGTTCTTTCCTTTAGCAGTGCTGTTTCTGTTTATCCCCCAGGCTTCTGGGCTCAGCTGAGTGTGAGCCCTCGTATGTTGGGGACCAGCCACCAGCTGCAGGCCACTTTCTCTATGCTGTCTGGTGGATGAGTGGCAGAGGGTAGTGGTTTTGTAATCGTAAGAACTTGTCACCTTTCATCTCTTCTAGGAGCCACATAGCTAATTAAATGTTGCCCTTTTGCTGTGTTTGCTGGAACATTCTCCCTTTTCCCTGATAAAGAAGAATGAGTACAGAATGAGGCATCATGTTTCCACTAAGCACTCAGGGGTATAGCCAGCTAAGGAAGAATCAGGGTTCTTTTTTTTTTAGATAGAGTCTTCCTGTGTTGCCCCAGCTGGAGTGCAGTGGTGTGATCATAGCCCACTGCAACCTCAAACTCCGGGGCTTAACCAATCCTCTTGCCTCAGCTTCCTCCCCCATCCAAGTACTAACCAGGCCTGACCCTGCTTAGCTTCGGAGTTCAGGGTCGTATGGCTGTATAGACTCAGCTTCCTGAGTAGCTGAGACTACAGGCGTGTGCCATGACACCCGGCTAATTTTTCTATTTTTAACGGAGACGGGATCTTGCTCTTGCTTACACTGGTCTCGCACTCCTGAGCTCAAGCAGTCCTCCACTTCAGTCTCCCAGAGTGTTAGGATTACAGGTGTGAGCCACCGTGCCCTGCCGAATCAGGGTTCTTATATTAACATACCTTCTACATCATAGATTGAAGGCAGTTCATTTTGACTCCAGTTATTTCAAATGGAAATACTTCTAAAAATATATATAAATGACTGTCTCATAATTAAAATCCAGAATTTTGAACTGGAATTTGGAAGTAACAATATAGAATATATTATAAGCCCATTTCATTGTTTACATAAATAATCTTCCAGTGAAATCTTAAGACTAATTTTTATACTGGTGATTTCTTTTTTTTTTTTTTTGAGACAGAGTCTCACTGTGTTGCCCGGGCTAGAGTGCTGTGGCATCATCCTAGCTCACAGCAACCTCAAACTCCTGGGCTCAAGCGATCCTCCTGCCTCAGCCTCCCGAGTAGCTGGGACTACAGGCATGCACCACCATGCCCGGCTAATTTTTTCTATATATTTTTTTTAGTTGTCCTATTAATTTCTTTCTAATTTTTAGTAGAGACAGGGTCTCGCTCTTGCTCAGGCTGGTTTCGACCTCCTGAGCTCAAACAATCTGCCCGCCTCGGCCTCCCAGAGAGCTAGGAGTACAGGCGTGAGCCACCGCGCCCGGCCTATACTGGTGGTTTCTAACAGAATTAGTCCCTCTTGAGCCTGTTTAAACTGGCTCTTGAGTAGGAAGTTCTGTATCAATATGAAGTGTCCTTTGGCAATCCTTTTTAAAGAATAAACATTCATAGTTTTATTTTCATTTTTCTGACATTTTCTATGGAAGCTTTCTTTCCTGCTTAAAAAATTTCTTAACAAGTCCACACTGAATTTTATATGGGAAAGGAAGTAAAATGTCAAGAAAACTATACACAGCCCTAGAAAGAAATGTGAAAAGTGAGACTAAATCAGCTTCAGCTCCGAACGCTCACTGTGGTGTGACCGCAGACTGAGGCACACTGAGGCTGGGAGCGGGGGTGCCCCGGAGCCTCTGAGCCCCCCTGCAGTGTCTGTGCAGACACACATGCACCCCAAAGCTAAAGTGGGAGCTACAGGAGCCTCTTGCTTGAAACAGCTCTCTGCTCTGAGAATTCAGCTAGTGCAGAAGCACCAGTACTATGGTTGGAACGCCAATTAAACAGGCCAGCATTTTGTGGTAATTTGAACATTAGATATTAAAGCTACTCATATTTATATGAGGGTCTTTTTGGAGTGGGGTGATAAAGATTTCTAATGAGCTCATGGTTGGTTTGCATTTCTTTCTCTCTTTAATACCCTTGCCCTCTTCAGAGTTGTTGAGAACTTAAAAGTGTTCTCCTATCCGTTTATTCTCCAAGCATAATTTTCCTGATAGCTGTCTGTTCTCAATAGAAGGTAATAAAATTGATGTTGACTATGTTAAACATTTACTAGTAGTTTAAAGGAAAAATATCAGAAGGCCCTATTAATTCGAGATTCATTTAGATTTCAGGAATTGTTTGATAATGAAGTGCCATGGTTTTTTGCAGATTCCCTCCACCGCCCCTTAGACTTTGGGGAATTTCAAGGGTTTTTTTGTTTTTGTTTTTTTAATGAGAGCAAAGATTTAAGCTACCCTGGAATAGGAATCTTTTGGGGCCCTGGAGCTGAGTATATTCATAGACTATCGAATAATTCATAATCCAGTAAAGGCAACGAGGAAAGCATGCAACCAGAATATAAGACAAAACATGTTAAGTGCCTGAAGAAAGGCACAGAAAACAAATGTAAACTTTTGGATGAAGAGATCTTGTGTCATTGAAGGGAACTGGGGGACATTTCATGAAGGAGGTTTTTTTGTTCGTTTCTTAGCTTGTTTGGAATGGAAGTTGGTTTTCAAGTCAGGCTTTAATTACCAGTCTCAGTTAGGTAATATCTAATTCATAATTGTTTGTACTGTAATGATGTAACAGATGTACATGCTTTCGGTTGTACATAGTCAAAAAAAATTGTGGACATTATGCTTAAACAGGGCCCTGAAGTTTTAAGTGGTACAAATGATGGCTCAATTCTTAATTGTATTTTTTCCCACAGGGCTATATTACTCTGAAGTACCCTAAACAGTTCTGTGGCATTTTGCTTCTCTGCCACATCCTCCTACGTTTTGGGAATTGTTTCTGTGTGTTTGCACTGAGTCTTCTACCAGTGAAGTTTGGATGAAGTAGTCTTTCAATCTGTCATTGTTACTGGTCACTTAAGAGGAATTTATCTGCTTCGGCTAAAATAAACTCTCTGTCAGAACTGTCATAGGTGTGTCCAGAAATATTGTCCTCATAGTGTGGATTAGGTTTTTTTTTTTTTTAGATAAAAGAATATATAACTTATGTGTACAGTTTAAAATGCAACAATATAATGACCACACATGTACCAACCCATCATCTACCTTTAAAAATAGGGAATTACTAATGGCTTCCAAGTCCTCCAGGGCCCCCTCCTCCCCGAAGGGAGTCATTGTCTGGAATTTTGTGTTTTTCATTCCCTTGTTTTTCTTTAAACTTTTCTTTTCCTTTGACCATATATGTATATATTCTAAAACACTATAGTTGAATTTGCCTGTTTTTTGCCTTAGTAATATGAATATACCAAATATAAATAAATATATACACATATAAAGTTTATCTAGCTGGAGTGTTACTATATGTATTATTTTGCAACTTGTTTTGTTCCCTTAACATTTTGTTTATGGGCTGTGTATAGCAGTAGTTTATTCATTTTTACTGCTGTAGACTATTTCTTTGTGGGGAAAATACCCATATTGATGGCTAGTTGGGTGTTTTTCAGTGTGTTGCTGTTACACACACAGCTGTGAGCATGGCTTCATGGTTTATGAAGAGTTCTTCTAGGCTGGTTTCTTGGTTTATAGGGTCTGCATATCTTCAGTTTTACTAGATGATGCCAAGTGGTTGTTTCCATCTTTGCCAGTCTGGTGGCTTCAAAAGAGTTTTTCGTTGTGGTGTGTGTGTGTATATATGTGGCTTTACTTTATTTCCCAATTTTCATTTTGAAAAAATTTCAAAACTATAGATCAGTTGCAAGACTAGTACAATGAATCCACCCTTCACTTAGATTCACTAATTAACATTTGCTATATTTGCTTTATCTAGCTTTTTATACATGCTCAGTGTTCACACACATGTATATTTTATTTTTTTGAACCAATTGAAAGTTAGTGGTAAGTATCATTGTACTTTCCCACCTATATCTAATTCAGCATGTATTTCCCCAGAGCATAAAAACTCACTTGTATAGCCAGAATATCAGTATTTTATTCATAAAAGTTAACATTTCATTGTTTATAAAAATATTATCCAATATATAGCCCATATTCACATTTTCCTAGTTGCCTCAATAATGTGCTTTCCTTAAACAACTTTTTAATTTTTTTTTTTCTTTTTGAGACAGAGTTTCGCTGTGTTGCCCTGGCTAGAGTGCCGTGGCATCAGCCTAGCTCACAGCAACCTCAAACTCCTGGGCTCAAGCGATCCTCCTGCCTCAGCCTCCCGAGTAGCTGGGACTACAGGCACGTGCCACCATGCCCGGCTAATTTTTTCTATATATTTTTAGTTGTCCAGATAATTTCTTTCGATTTTTTTTCAGTAGAGACGAGGTCTCGCTCTTGCTCAGGCTGGTCTCGAACTCCTGAGCTCAAACAATCCGCCCGCCTCGGCCTCCCAGAGTGCTAGGATTACAGGCGTGAGCCACCACGCCCGGCCGACTTTTTAATTTTTTTTATAGCTAAGTGAATTATTATAAGGCAAACACCCTTGTAAACCATCATCTAGGACAAAAAAATAAAACTTTGCCAGCCCCCCTCAAAGCCCCTCCATGTAGCCCATCCCAGTCACAATCCTTTTCCTCCCTCCCCAAATAACTACTATCCTGACTTTTATTGTAATAACTTTCTTTTCTTTCTT